AATAGAATAGAATAGAATAGAATAGAATAGAATAGAATAGAATAGAAATAGAAATAGAAATAGAAATAGAAATAGAAATAGAAATAATAGAATAAGAAGAGAAGAGAAAGCTGGAAGGGTTCTGGAGGTCTTTTTGTCCAGCCCCGTGCTCAAGCAAGAGACATTGCCATTTCAGACAAGTAGCTGTCCAGTCTTTTCTTTAAAAACCCAATTATGAAGAACCCACAATTTCTAGATGCAAGCTGGTTAATTGTCCTCACTGTTCGGAAGTTTCTCCTTAATTCCGGGTTGCTTCTCTCCTTGATTAGTTTCCATCCATTGCTTCTTGTCCTGGTCTCTGGTGCTTTGGAAAATAATTTGACCCCCTCTTTTTTGTGGTAGCCCCTCAAACATTGGAACCCTGCTATCAGCGTATCAGTGCTATCGCCTAGAACACTGCTATCTAGGCACAAAAGAGAGTCTCCTTTGCACTTCTGTGCCTAGATTAGCAGTAGGGGAACACCTCCCACCTGCCTTGCTTCCATCTTTTGAGCATCCCAGAATTCCTGAGCCAGCACTGTGGACTTCATCTCCCAGAATTTCAGTGCTGGCTCAAGAATTCTGGGAGTTGAAAGTCTACAAATCATCAAAGGGCCATGGTGAGAGGGATTTTTGTAAGAGTTAGCACAGGGGTGTTCAAACTTGGCAACCTTAAGACTTGTGGACTTCAACTCCCAGAATGCTGGCTGGGGAATTCTGGGAGTTGAAGTCCACAAGTCTTAAAGTTGCCAAATTTGAAGATCCCCAAGTTAGCAAGAGGGGAACTAACAGATTTGTTAATATTTGTTGAAGAAAAGGTCGGTAGTCATATCTCATAGCTTTAGGGGTTTTTTTCTTCCATCTTCTTTCTATAGATTTGTATACAGATTTACAGATTTGGAAGGGACCGTGTAGGTCATCTAGTCCAACCCCCTGCCCAAGCAGGAAACCCTACAACATTTCTGACAAATGGCAGTCCAATCTCTTCTTGAAAGCCTCCAGTAATAAAGCCCCCCAAGCCAAGCTGTTCCATTGGTTGATTATTATCACTATCAGAAAATTTCTCTTTATTTCCAGGTTAAATCTCTCCTTGATCAGTTTCCATCCATTATTCCTTGTCTGGCCTTTGGGTGCTTTAGAAAATAGCTTGAATCCTTCCTCTCTGTGGCAGCCCCTCAGATATTGGAAGACTGCTATCATGTCTCCCCTGGTCCTTCTCTTTACTAGACTGGCCAGGCCCAGTTCCTGCAACTGTTCGTCATATGTTTTAGCCTCCAGTCCCCTCATCAGCCTGGTTGCTCTTCTCTGCACTTTTTCTGAAGTCTCAACATCTTTTTTATAGCGTGGTGACCCAAACTGGATGCTAATTCTTGGAAGAAAAAAATAGGTTGATTACTTCATGGTATAAAAGGCCTTTGACACCCATTTGAAAAAAAATCAGATGTGAGGACAGACCCTTACTGAGAGAAGCCACATTCCTAGAATTCTCCAGCGTGACTTCTCTGTGAAGGTTTTTTTGGTCAGAATCCAATAGAGCCCACTCCTCCTCGGAGAAATTCATGGCCACCTCCTTGAAGGACATCAGAGCCTGAAAGGCAGACAACATTGTTGTGATTAACTAGAATACTCTAGAAAGTTTTGAAGGATCTTTTCCTTGACTTGCTCAAGTAGTCCTCGACTTATTCATTCAGTGACTGTTCAAAGTTACGATTTATTTATTTTTTATTTTTTATTTATTTTGAGTTGTCAATTGCTTACAAGATAATAGGTATAAGTGAAAACACAGTTATGAATACATGGATACATATAAGAAAAATAAAAGAAACAATAGGATAGGGATGGTAGGCACATTGGTGCGCTTATGCATGCCCCCTACAGACCTCTTAGGAAAGAGGTGAGGTCAATAGTCTAAGGTTAAAGTTTTTGGGGTTTGGGGAAGAAACCACAGAGTTAGGTAGAGTATTCCAGACATTGACCACTCTGTTGCTGAAGTCGTATTTCTTGCAATCAAGTTTGGTGCGGTTAACCTTGAGTTTGTATCTATTGTGTGCTTTTGTGTTGTTATGGTTAAAGCTGAAGTATTCATTGACAGGTAAGTCATTGCAATGTATGATTTTATATACCGTACTTAGATCTGACCGAAGATGGCGCAATTCAAGGTTTTCTAGGTCTAGAATTTCAAGTCTGGTGACATAAGGTATTCTGCAACGAGTAGAGGAGTGGAGAACTCTTGTGAAATATTTCTGGACTTTCTCAACTCTGCTAATATCAGATACGTAATGTGGTTTCCAGACTGATGAGCTGTATTCAAGTACTGGTCTAGCAAATGATGGCCAAGGGTGGGCTCAGTGGTGGGATTCAAATATTTTTACCACCGGTTCAGTGGGCGTGGCTTGGTGGGCGCGCTTTGCGTGTGTGCACACACTTTGTGTGTGCGTGCGCACCGAACGTACACTTTGCTTAGGCATAGAGGTGTTCTAACTCACCTCTTGCAAGCCTGCACGATCCCGGTTGCTTCAGCAACTGCCGCGCAGCACTCTTCTATGCCGCGCAAAGCAGCTGCGCTTCAAATTCAGAGGATAATGGTGAGTATGGGAGCCAGGACAAGCAGGTGGGCCCAACAGCAGAGTGGTGGAGAGAACCGTTTCGATCTCCGCTGCTCATCACTGCTATCGGCTCAGCAGAACCGGGCCAAACTGGTAGAATATCACCACTGGGTGGGCTTCAAAAATTTCAGCAACGGGTTCCCTGCCCAGTTGCTGGGTGGGTTTGGGCGTAGCCATGGTGGTGTGGCCTAGTTGGCCTCCTGCACCATGGTGGAGGGGGGGGGAATTTTCACCTTCCCCAGGCTCCGGAGGCATTCCTTGAGCCTCTGGGAGGGCGAAAACTGCCTCCCCTGGGCTCTGGAGGCCCAAAACGTGCCTGTATCCGGACTTCCGGAACTTTGGGAGGCCCCTATTTCCCCCTCCCCGAGCCTCTGCACAGGCCCTGCACTTACCTTGCATCCAAAACGGGCCGTGTGGAGACTCCTGGGAGGGGCAGGGTGGGGTGGGCGGGGCCAGCAGGGATGGGATTTGGCGGTTTGCCGAACCAGCCATAATGTTAGCTACAGGCCCACCCGAACCCAGGTGAACCCGTAGCAGCCCACCCTGATGATGGCACTGAAAAAAGTAACTTAGAACCCATTTTTGCTTGCCCTCTGCTGCCTAGGGGACAGCCTATGCCACCATCCAGTGGTCCTCCGGGTGGCCAGCGAGGGATGGCGAAGCTTCTCTGGAGCAAGGGTTGCCAACCTTTTGGACCTCAGGGACCACCAAACTCATAATTTTAAATCCCACGGACAACCCACAAAAAGTCAGAAGGAAAATTCCCCACCCCGTTTTCCTACTGATTGATCATTCTTTATTTGGGATTGCAGGATACTATCTTTAGTTCAGTTTTCAGGGCGGGGGGGGAGAGAGACTTTTGGCTTCATGAAAAGGAAAGCAGCAGAAGCAGCAGAAGTTTCTCTTTCTCTACCCCAAATTCTGCCAGAAATGAGTCTTTGTAAGACCTGTCATGCTGGTACAGCCTCTTGGAGTAGGATACCTTGCAGGGTCCCAAAGACTTATTTCTGACGGAGTTTGGGGCACAGAAAGAAAGACTTTTGTTGCTTTCCTTGCATGCAGCCAAAAGCAGAAAAAGAAAGAAGTGAAAAGAAGCAGCCCGGTGACCAGGCCAGGCGTGTGGGGTGAGTGGAGCAAGTTCCCCCCCTCCACCCTTTCCCTCCTCCCCTCACAACCTCATGTTGTTCGCAATGCAAGCGACGCAAGCCTTGTGTTCCCAGGGGGCCATGTGGGTGGTGCAGCCTTGTTCTCAGCTGTTCGTCCGACATTAGGGCGTACATAGACCACTCACTCTTGTAGATGTTTGTAGAGTTTACTCGCCTCTCGTGCCCAAAACAGTGGGTAACAACAAGCAAAAATTGTATTAAAGTCGGCTCTGGTTTGCATTGCAAGTTAGAGCAGTATTTATACATGCCTTTAATTTAATTCCTTAATACACATAACTACCTTCTGGCCGCTGCTGCTGCCTAACATTCGGAAGTTCATAATTAAGTGTGATAACTTTCTTTCAGTCTCGTCTCGGCAATGTGGTAACTTGTCTTCAGTCCCGTATCGACGATTCCATTTACCCCATTTACACGTTTGTACCCTGTCCCGTTCCAGCCCCACTGCTTAACTATACCACCACCCATGATTTCGTCCACAGCTGACAGAGAGACGCTGACAGCTGCTACAGATACGGTGACACAGAATCGATCATGCAAGTCCATTCGTCTTGGTTGTCTCGGCTCCATCTCATTCAGCAATGGAGTCATGACACTTGTGTTCCCAGGCAGCCTGGATTAATTGCTTTGGGGGGGATGCTTTGGAGATGACATTTCTCTGCGGACCACCAAAATTTTCTCACGGACCACCAGTGATCCCCAGCCCACTGGTTGGCAACCACTGCTCTGGGGGACAAGAATTGTGTTCTCTGTGGTCTTTCCTTCATCTGCTGGAAACCACAGGCACCCCCGACACAAGTGACGTTGAGCTGCCACGCTTACCCTGACCA